ATTTTAACGGAATCTCGGAATTTCTATATGAATTGTTTATTAAGTGGGCGGGGTTTAGAGTTGGGGGCGGAGCTTCTTCTAAACTCCTCCGAATTTTATTTATTCATCCATCAAGTTGGAGGGGTGATTGCAATCAATTTCAATTTCATTCCAATTCATTTTTCACCGGTAAATTAAACCGCTCTTATCTATGGGATTTTAGGGTATACATTATGTCCGTAGTCTATAGTGATACGATAGATATATGGCACTACTTTGTTATTTTCAAAATTTGTCCATATGAGCAACAAGCCATGTTGATAATTTTATAACACATGCCAATACAATACAGTGCGCCATGGAAAAGGGGCATAATATATATTGAAAGATTTATCTCATCAAGTTGAAGCTGAATATTCTTGCAGATTCCAGATAAAATTGTTTAAGAAGAAGTTTAACCAAATCCCTCAAGTCCCGCAAATCCCGCAAATTTGGCCGCATTCCACCGCTACAATTATACTTGATCTCGCTTTATCACGCTCTTGCACAGTCAGGCGCCTCGTGCTTGCATCGGATGTGATTAATCATAATAAGTTGGAGTTTTTTTTAACATTTCTACATCATCAATCGTTGACTTCGATAAGTTGTGCTCAAAGCAACATCTCCAGCGACTGTGATGTGCAGTACGAAGGTTGAAATCATAGTTTTTCACCATGATAAACCAGTTACATGATCCAATATTATTTATTCAAGTCAATCATTATCAATTATTATATTTCATTTTATCTTGTTAGTACTCTTATCTTTGAACCTGGGCATGGTTCTTCGTAATTAAATTATTTTATTTCATTTTTGTTATCTATATCAGTCACTTGTCTTATTGCAAATATGAAGTACTTGTCTATTGTGGTCTAGAGCGTAATCACAGCAGTTCGGAAAACGTTCAACGTGTCTAAGTGACGGATAATAACGTCTTAAATTTCCACTTTTAGAGACAAAAAAGATTCACTTCAGCAAAAGGGTAAAATTCTAGGACTGAATAACGCCAATAAGCTTTTAAAGGAGTTACATGCCGCCAAATAGTAAACTTAATGTATTCATACATTCATGCAAAATATCATAGAACCATGTTCTTCCATTATTATGATTTTCTTCGCATGGTCATCTCAAAGAACAGTGAAGTTTTGAGTCGTATGTTGAACCCTCTTCTCTCCTTCATAAAACGTAGTTTGCGACCTTTATACTTACGTTACCAGAACTTGGAGCGACGACAAAAAAGATTTTTTATGGCAGCATCGCAATATAACGAATTGAACGCAATGGTGAAATTCTTAGAAAACGATACTGCAAATTCCTGCCGTCACACCTAAGATTAAGAGCTTTTATTGTCTCTGAATATTGCAATACCTTCATATACAGGGTGTCCCAAAAAGATGTGCACACTGTTTGATCGTTAATAACTCTCTTGCTTTCATGTCTTTTGTCGAGCCAAAAGTACCATTTTATAGAGCGAGGTTCAACTTAGATTCGCAGAATGGAGCGAATCATCGATCGCTCTTCATTACTGTAAAATTACGGTAGGAACTTCGAAGAGGGTTTTAAGCCATTAAAGGGCGCAATTTGCCTCAGAAAGAAGGCCAAACAAGCCAGAAACTCTTACAGTGGGCTAATTGAAGGTTCTAATTGTAAATATGAAGTTTGCACTTTAGTATAGTGCTTTTTTCATAAGTTATTTCAGATTTAGAGTAAAAACTGTTTTCCCAATGTCCCTCAAACATGTGAATACGCGAACAAGAAAGTTCGAAAATTTGATGAAAAGTTATGTACTGACATCAGCACGCCTGAGAACCTTAATACACAAATTTTCAGATTTTTTTGAAATTATTTTATCACAAGTCCTATTCCACAGTGACGCTGTATGTTGGAAGTTCATACCGTAATCCTACAGTAAAAGTGATTGGTGATTTGCTCCACACTGCAAATCTAAGTTGAACCTCGCTCTACAGAATGGTAGAGTTATTAACGATCAAACAGTGTGCATATCTTTTTGGGACACTCTGTATATCAGCTAGTCAAGTGGTCAAAATCATCTTCACGCACTCTTGATTTTTTGCTACTCAAGCCATATCCATAGCTCATTTTATTTACGCTACACTGCAATTCATACACATTCGAATATGATGAGATATGAAGCCCTTTCGAGATGTAAGGTATTTTTCGTTACATCAATTCTTATTTTAGAAATAAGCCAGAACTTGCCCGCACTTATTCAGAGCAGTGGGTATAACTTCCACAGTATCTATCTAGACTATTTGAGACAAATGCATTGTCTGTTATCTGTTCCTAATTTTTCAAAAAGGAGAGTATACTGTCACAGCGATGCATCCTCAGTTCGAGTGGACCTTTCAAATGGAGAAGGGGTATAACCAGGGTCAAGCCTGTGGTGTCCCACGCCACACCCGGGTCGGCCTTTTTTGAACCCCTCCCCCTCCTTTGTAAATGAACCTTTCTTTGAATACGTCAGAGGAAGAGAAACTACTTACAAATTGGTAGAAAATGCACTAATGCTTGGTTGCTTAAGCACTTCCCAATAAATTTGCGTACATTGGGTGCGATTTGGCTGCACTGTACTGGTTCGCGAAACGATGGATGGACCTGACGAAGAAGGAACCAATTTTAGTTTTATACGACACTCGAACTGTAACGTGCCTAGACGCTGATTTATAAGCACGAGATGAAACAGGGTAACAACCTAAAAAACTCAGGAATACAGATCAATTAAACTTAGTCGTTATAATTATTGACATAACTCATTCATGTAAGTAAGTTTACTGAAATCATTCATAATGGTCTCCGAAACATGAACGCTTTAGGCCTTGGGCAGAGTTCACGCGATTTCATCGACTCGCGATTCTTCCAACAGACAATCGCTACGAATCCATTGCATGCCGTCCATATTGCATCTCGGTTGTGATAGTTTTGCAACCCGATTAATCTCGACTAACTATCACAATTGAAATGCAGGATGATCAAGCAATGGATTCTATTGTTGTCCGTTGTCTGTTGTCTTGTTTGGAGAATCGCGAGGCGATGAAATCGCATGAACTTTGCCTGAAGCCTTAAACTATAATTGATCTTGGATTTGATCCTCATCGCAGAACCATTTTCTGTAGAGAGAAAAATGAGGTTTTTGAAGCACAAAGAGGCTTTGCTTAGATTTCCGTGCGAATAAAAGCTTTCTAGTGCTGTCCCAAATGATGTCAAGAACGTGCATAAGCACGGTACTGCAAAAATTGTTAACTACTAAAGTTAGAAAGAGGCTGATAGACTGCAATGAACAGGTCGTGTAGTAAAGTACCGCGGCAATCGAAGAGGATATTTGCAGCCATTCAAAGGTCGTAATAAAAAAATGGATGCGATTCTAGCGAACTTTTATGCGAAAAATTAAACATTGGAATTTTTAAGTTTGAGCTTCTTTAACTTACTGGAGACGCAACAAAACAGCCCGAAATCTTCTAGATAGAAAGAAGGACGGGGCCATAATGCAGCGAGGTTGCAGCGAACAAGAAAGGCAGTGGCTCGGCAAATCGCAACCTAGTCAAATTTTTGCTTACCTGGGATTATTCAATATGCTGATCCCGAAATCCATTTTAGAGAGCTTGAAAACGGCGAAAACATGCGTTTTTGAATGCCCTTCCCTTTGAAGTTGGACGAGTGGAGCGAGGCTGATGACGCTGAATCGTTGCAGGACCCAATGGTTATAGCATTGGGTCCAGGCAGCCTCCAGTGGTGGGAAGGAAATTGCCAACTCGTCCGGGCGCGTGTAAGATTGGCTTGCGCGTGTAAGTTTGAGAGCAGTTTTCTCGGCAGGGAAGGCATGCTGCGCAACCGGGATTGCACTGTTTTCATACTTGGGCGATGAGGAACCTACTGCGTTGAAATCATGCGTTGTTAAGTTTTGCCGATCCACTGCCTTTAATAGCTCCGAAAAATCTGGATGCACTCAGATATGATCTCCCTTTTTCATTTTTTGTTGCCTCATGAAATTATAGAACAGGCTATTCAAATGACTAAACTTTGCACAGATATAGCAAAACATCTTCAAGCAATTGTAAAGGCCGTGTGAAAACATTACAAAAGGGTTTACAAATCATTGATGGTCATCGCTTGTAGAGATATGCGCTTTTCTCGATTGTATGAGACCTCAGTGAGGCTTCGAAACGCAGGACTTATAAGAGGTACATTCAACATCTTCAGCACATTACATGCCTTTTACAAGAATTTGCCAATCCTCATTATGCTATTCGATTTTCGTGAACCTGCATTCCTTATTCGAACTCCCCTCTCACAACCCTCTCCCTTCCCCCAACCTTAGATGCACGCTTTACGACCATCCATTGCGACAGTCACATCACACGCATGACCTTGCTATTAAGGCTATTTCGTTCTCTTGGTGAGCGAAGCAGATGTAGTTATTAGCTATGCTTGTACTAGAAAATTCTGTCTATTTCCTTCTAAAAACTCATTGTGTTTTCTTTGAACCTGAGCATTGTTTATAATCTTCAGATCTTCTAGTCGTACAGTATGTTATGCTGGCAAATTGATTCGTTCCGGTGCAGGTTTGCTACGCTTTCGTCGTCCTTTCTTCTAATTCACTCAGTTTCGGCCTCATCTCATCTCGTCTAACTTTTCAATACAAATAGAATCACCTTTGTACTAGTTTTGAATGTCCGCACAAAATAATTAAGATCTTATTTATCTTTAAAAAATTTTGCGAAGTTGGAATGGAAGAAATTGCCTGCGTCAGAAGAGATGTCTGGTTGTACTACTGATGATGCCTTGGGTCGTTTTCAGACCTTTGAGAATGACGAAAGCATCGAGACGTTAGGCCAATACGAATAAATCTGCCGTCAATACCTGTACAGCGCGATAGATTTCAAGATTACTAACATGTTTACTTCGTTTCTCACATTTGCTGCACTCACCGCGAAGATCGTTGTTTGAACTTTCTGAATGATTACCTGATAAAATTGATCGGGTGGTTTCATGCTTTTGTTGAACGGCAACATGATATCCGGCTGCTCGTAATCTGTAAATACTTGACTGAGGCTGTCTGCCCAGAGGTATTGAGTACTACTATTTATTATTTGGTAAGTTATCCACTTCGCTCGGTTAGTGGTGAGAAATATAGAGAGGAGCAGAAGCACTGAATAATCAAGCATTTTAGGTCCTTGTCATAAGATATTTAACTTCTAGTTCATGTTCAGTGTTGAACTATCAGTGAAAATGGCCATACAAAATGAGATTTGTATTGCTAAACGAAGCGCATCGTATGCGTGAAGCGTACCCTCGAAAAAAGTTGTGAAGAAAAACGCAGAAACGCAGGCTGTGCCAGTTTACCCGCGACCATTTGCAAGAAAAGAACATATTCGCACTGAACCACTTGAAATTTGCAATGAACGAGCCTATTGGGACCACGCCATTTGACCGTTATAACATGTACTATAGTGCCCATAAAGTTGTGTTAATATTATTAACTTGTAGGTCTTCAGAAAAATGTTCCACAGGTAAGAGTTGCATTCTTACAATGGAAGAAAGCTATGTCGATTTGGATCTAGTCCATCTCGCTAATTGAACTTCTGTCCCCGGTAATTGCTGAAGCTTCTCGGAATTTCCTTCGGATCTTGTCAATGTAAGCAAAATCACCTAGATTGATGGAAATGCCTGTTTTGTGCCATAAAGACTCGTTTACAGAAAAGGATCTAACATTTTAGATATTTGAGATAGATTAGTAAATTAGTATCGAAAAATTAGGTTGTCGACTATTTTCGTTGGGTCACGCATGCAAGATTCGCAAGAAGAAAATGCGCAAAACTTTCTTTTAGAAAGTACCTGGAAATAGCGCATCAGGCTGCAGAAGATGGACACCTATGTACATATGAGGTGTACATCTTATGTATGTACCTCATACAAACAAGGTAATGGCATACCTTCGATAGTCTAGAGACAGGGCGCCAAAAGTGAAGGTTGTTTGAACATCTGACGTCATAAATAGTGAAGGTTGTTTAAAGAAGATCAGAGAAGAAAAAATGACGTAAAATAGATATAAAAAGCAAGAGAAACTGCTGAAAACCAGATAAAAATGCTGCAATAAGGTTTGAAATCTTTCGTTTGGCGGCTTTTTAAAGTGCAAGTTTTCCCTTCACCAGCAATTCGCAACACGGGGTTTTGATTTTTGATGCGTCCTTTGAATTTTTACCCTCGCGCCGTCCCTTTTGTACCCTGCGACGTTGTCTGGATTCTTCCGCTCATAATTCTGAGCAAGTATCGTCCAAGCTGGAGAAAATTCGTTGCGAAACCACTGAAAAAGAATAAGGTAAAGAAAAACGCATTTTTTTGTAATTTTCACAAAAAAAACGGCATAAGCACAGGAATAAGCTCGGCGACGTTGTCTACATCATAGACAGAAACAAGACCTATCGACTACACAAAAAAACTGCGTGAAAAGAGTCATACTAGGAGAAAAACGAGAGATTTTCGAAAACAAGGTTTTTGCCGGATTTCTCGTTTAAATCATAAAAAGAAGTCTTGCGACGGTGTCAGCGTGAAAATAGAGATCAAGAGCTTCAAAATGATATGTAGCTTGCTAAAATTGGGTTCGAAACAGCGAAGAAAAGGGTACCAGAGCCAAATGCCCCGCGCCCCGCGTTTGGGGTAACGAGGTAGCGCGCAACGCGCGGAGACGCAGACGAGCAGCGGAGACAGACCAGAGCCGGCGGGGCATTTGGCTCTGGTCATTGATCTCCGCGGGGTCATAACAAAACCCTATAATATTATATATCGTTGTGATCCTCATGAGACGGCCAGGAGCACTGACAACGTCGCAGGTCTTGAAAATCACTCCATAACGAGATAGACCAGCATTTATTTGGCGACTCTCTGCGCAAGATTTCAGCGCAGTTTCTCGTTTTTATTGAATTCCAGCGGCTTTCATGAACCTCCAACGCTCAATCGCAATCTACAGAAAGGTTAATTGATAAGTTTCATCCTAATTTCTAACTAAATTTTTGAAGAAAAACCTTCTTTTCAGCAAAAAAAGGCCATAAAAATGCGATCCTTCGGTTTTTTGAGCTTTTTCTGGATGTCACTACTATATTTGCCTCATTCACATTCATCCTTACATAGTTAGTCATTAGTTATATCAAAATATCCGGGCTTCGCCCCGGATGACTTCTGTATTCCTCTCCAGGTGAAGGTTGTGTCCTCTCATGACACTCAAAGTGAAGGTTACCAGAGTACGTGGCTCTATGTATCGAAGGTATGGGTAATGGTCAGAAATCGAAGTGGCCTTCCTTATCTGTAGAGCACTTTCGTGGATGAAATTATAAGCCGTCAAAGGCCATTATTTTGCTAAGAAATCGTGCATATAAGGGGTAAACTTGGCCGTACAGATCCATTTTCGGCTCAGTGTTGGGCCAAAATATGCAACTAAGCCACTTCATATGGCACGTACTTGGAGTTGAGCAAAATGGGCAACGCGCCTAATTTCGCAATTTTTGAGTACATTTTTTGCAGTGAAGCCTTATAACTTCGCCTACAACGAAAATGAAATCAGTGTTCTACGCTGCATCGAATGGTATGCTGCTTGTTTTGATTGGCCACTTCGAATTCTGACCATTCCCTTGTGAGTCGATCCGACTTCATAAAGAAAGGTCTGATTGGCTTAGTATCCTTCCCTAATTAGAATTAGCATCCATGACGACTCATGCAACATACATCTCTCCTAATGGTCACTTCAACTGAAAATGCTTTCTAAGTACTCTTTATGACGGCTAAGAGGCCGTCGCCGTTCTCCCACAATATACATCCATGTATCCATGGAGGAATTTCTAAAAGTGACACCGCAGTATCTACCTACCAATCAAAAGCTACCTATACTATAGTGTGGACCCCGGCCAGTTTCCCATGCGGCGCAACCGCAGCGCGTGCACTGATGCTTCTTACCTCACTTATGAGCAATAGAGCACATCTACACACCATAGAAGAGAACTGAGAAGTGGACCCGTGAATACACTTCGAAAGAAACGTATACAAGTATAAAACGCACGCAACCTCCATTAGTACTTCAAATTCAATCAATGGCTGTAAATTTCAGACTTGCATCGGTGGAAAAGCGGTAATAAGTAAACGTAGAGCAGAAAAAAAACAACCGCATTCTCAAAACGTTTATCTTCGTAAACTTAGAAACTAGAATGGTAAAATAACTCAAAAAATGTGGATATTTCGTAAACAAATCCCTACTGGCTTCCCAAAAGGCTTAATTTGATTTGATACACTGTCTACACTCTAAAAATCAAGTTGAGAGGGACTCTTTTATAAAACAAAAAGCTTTTGGAGGAATATTCTCTTAGAATACACCTCAAATCTGAATCTCTCAGAAAAAAAGGTTACAAGACTAGTACTTAAGACCGAAGCTCTCAGGCCTAGTAGAGCACGTGAAACCTCGTCACCGGTTATGCGGCTTGTTTATACCCTGAAATAGAGGGAATATAGTAAAACAAAAACAAGAAAATAAGAGAAAAGCAAGGAATTTCATCGATAGGAGGCGCGCTGAGGGCGTGCGTTGCGGATGCGTTGCGCAGGTACCTATGGGAAGCTGGCCGGAGTCCACATTATACAAATGAAGGACACGCCCAACCAGACTTTCGGCTTCATTTCTACCCTCGTGGGATCTTTTATAGCCCTGATTTTAGAGTCTAGCTTGGCGAGAATGTGGTCGTAGGCAACAGAAGCTCCCGCTATGCAAAAGAAAAAATCAAAGAGAGCGCGCTTTGACTGTGCCTGACATAATGGGATGCAAGGGGTAATCCTTGAGCGTAAAGGCGTGATAGGAGGGCATCGTCTGAGTATAGCCTTAAATTGCAGGTCAATTTTCTTTGTTAGATGTTTCATGACTGGACCAACAGGCGGTTTAAAGCCTGGATCCTGTTTCTGAACTACATAGTAAGCGCAGGCGCATGAATTCCTGGATGGAATTAACAATATGATGATACTTGTTTCTAGACATGTCGCTGGATTCGGTCTGTGACTGTTTCTTACTTACTGAAGCGATAGATTTTGGCTTGTTGTAAACCACTGTACAGCGCAACCCGGCTGGGGGCGGGCCTATGTTGGACCTAGGACATCTCAGTTCGGCATCCAGAGAGCTACTGTTTTGGATGTGGATCGCTTTAACCTAAAAATCTTATGAGTTTTGAAAAACCAAAGTTAAGCAGGTTTAGTCGAAAGGTTGAGTAGTTGGGAGCTGGCCATGGTGCATGTAGTCAGCCAGTCGGTCAAAAGCCGTGTTCGAGGCTGGCTAGTGGGAGATTTTTTGCGCCGTCGCCGGCAACCTTCAATAGCGACCACTATCGAAAAAATTGATGGATATCGCCTAACAAATAAGTAGATAAAACAAACTACGATATTTTGACGAAGATATTATGAAAAACTCAAAGACTTGGAAAACAAACTGAATGAAAGAAATAAATAAGCTCTTGTTTTTTGCAGTTTTGAGAAAACCTAAGCGAACTCCGCAAGAAAGAAATAAGCTTGTTTTCTTTCTTTTCGAAGTCTAATCAACTGTTCATCGATCCTCGCCTATTCGAGCCCAAAAATTGTGCAATTTTATGAGTTTTACACCGCAAGAAACGTCAACTAGATTGTACTCACGAGCCTTTTGCACACTATCCCTCTTGGATCACTTTAGGGTCTACCCTCGTCTAAGTGCCATTACGTTGAGCTGACCGTGGCACTTGAGCGAAGGGTCTTAGGACTGGTCAGCAAAATATCCTAAAACACGGGAAGTGGGCGGCCTTAGGTTTACCATAGGAAGTTCTTCTGAATGACTCATCTCGGTCAACTGAGATGAATGGAGTTTACACTTCAGGCCTATGCTCTATACATTCAAAGCAATGGCACGCAGCACGCTTTTCTTTGGATAAACATTATTTTCGCACTAGATGTTTCGTGCTCCAAGACAAGAAGGAAGGATTGTTGAATGCAATACGACGACTAATCAAATCATTCGGGGTTCTAAACTATCAGGGT